GTGAAAGCCGATCCGGCGATCCACAGCGCGAAGTTGATGTATTTCCTCAGCGACCAGCACGGATCAGCTCTAGGCATGACGAAGAGGATATCGTCCTCTTTTGGAATGCCAAACAAAGTAGTTTTGCTTTCACTAAGCACACAGCATCTCCACGACATGGCAGCAGCGGCAACAACAATACTACAGCGAGAATAAAAGTTACGCCTTCTTTCTTTGCGTGTACATTTGGGTGGTGCTACGCAAATCTTCCCACATCGTGACGTAGACATGTGGGGGCGTGTTAGAACGAGCCGTTTTAGGTAGATGTGGTTGACTCTTAACTTTTATAAAGAATATCTCTTTGGATTTGAGACTTTAGTCTTTGCAACTTTACAGATCTTCTTTATGCACCAAGAGCTTATAATACTTCAAAGAGAAAGGAACAATTTAAATTTGCCTGAATTCACCCTGAAGAAATGAACCTTAAGGGATAGTTCACCCAAAAATGAAAATTCTGTTATCATTTACTCATCCTCATGTCGTTTCAAATCTGTATGAATTTATTTTTGTCTGCTGAACACCAAACAGGTTATTTGGAAGAATGCGGGTAACCAAATAGTTGACAGTAGCCATTAAATTCCAGCGTATTTTTTTCTTCCATACTATGGAAGTCAGTGGCTACTGTCAACTGTTTGGTTACCCGCATTCTTTAAAATATATTATTTTGTTCTCAACAGAAGAAAGAAACTCATCAACATGAGTAAATGATGACAAAATTGTTATTTTTGGGTGAACTATCCCTTTAAGCATGGCATACTATCAGATACACAATAAATATATTGCTCAGACAAATTAATTAAATTAAGATTGACAAAATGATGCAATGTACCATGAAATCTGAAATTTGATCAAAATTCAGTTTTGATTAAAACAATCTAGTTGATGAATGTACAAAATTGAATTTGAATGGCAATAAGTAAATAAATAATATTTGAATAATTATAATTGAAATATTTGAATTAAAAATGTAGTCAAGAATTTAATTTGTGATATATTATTATTATTATTATTATTATTATTATTAAATTCCATAATTGATGCATTGAATTTTCATAATGAACAATAGTTTATACCAAATGTACAACACGTTTAAATTTGTTATGACTATTTATTTAACTTGGGAAGATCCCATATATTTAATTTAATTTAAAAATGTATTTATTAAAAAAATGTATTCTTGGCATTCTGGACATTCATGTGTGCGCTCTCTGTTTGAATGTAGACTTTGGCAGGCTAACCCTCGCTGCAGCTGTCATGACTAATTTCACCCTGTGCTGTGACTTATGAAGTGGCTCACGATATACATCACTACTTGGATGACCTGGATTGCAGTTTACTTATGCAGTTTAGGTGTAAGATTGAGTTTATTGTTGTCCACATGCAGTGCTTTATTTCTTGCAATAATTTGCAACTGTTACTGTTTCAGATCATTGTAGAGTTGCCTTCTTTAACTTTGAGTAGTGTTAGAAAGGTCAAGAAGTTTTAATGAAAGATAAAATCAATTTAAAGCCTGTAAATGATAAAAAGCTTGATGGCATGCCCTGCTGGGGGAAAAAGTGACCAGCACAGCAGGAACTTTAACCACAGTGAATCAATTTTACAAGTTACTGTGTCCTCACTAATGAGCTGCTGATGAAAAGCGCATGATGAGGTGATCGCGTTGTGCTGCTATTGTCGTCCATTGTTCAAATATAATGAACTTATTTACTAAGCATGTGCTTTGATGTGTTTTATAAAGTTGAACTACTTTTAACATCCTGTTACTTGTGGAAGGACGTTATAAAGCACCGGTTATAATAGCAAAGGTTATATGTAACAAAATGAAGATAGTATAGTTGGCAATAGTGACCCATCATAGTGTTTATGAACTTATTGTTCTGAACTTGATGTCTGTGCTGCAAGATGTTTGTACGGCAACAGCTAACCAAATTAGAAATGAGATTTGTCAACATGCTTTTCAGATAAGAAAGCTTTACGTCACTTTGATAATTGGAGGAGAGCAGAGAGCATGCCGATGCTGAGCAGTCGATATGAAGCCTGCCATTGCTAGCAGCTCTCAGTGTCTCCTTCAAGGCTTCTTTACAGAGTAGAACAAAAAAAATGCTGTAAATAATTGATCAGCCTTTACAAGTTAACCACCCAAGGCTGGAATTACATCAAGCTCAAGAGGTTTGCGCCTGCCTTCTTCCACACGGCCCTCCGTAAAGCAATGAATTACCCTCCTGTGGCAAGAACTTTCCCTTCTCCACGCAGCAGCCTACTACCATCCTGGTCACCTAATGGTGGCACCCCAGTGCTAAAACAGAATTTATCTTTCCGACAAATGGCTGTGATTTGCATTGGTATATATAGGTTACCCTCGGGCTGCCAGTGAGGGGTAGTACACTCACCAAAGGAATCGGTCTCTTGCCTTCGAGCTATGCAAGGCACCATAAGGCTCTATTTGACTGAGACAAAGTAGCACACCACAGTGCCGTGAAAGAGGATGTTTATGCGCTGGAGTTAAGCATCCCTGGTAGTAAAATAGTGGGATTCCTGCCAGAGGCTGTGCTGTGTTGCATGAGGTCGTGCAAGGTTTTATCCTGATTTCTTTACTTCGCCTCTTACGAGTCGGTAACTTTTCTTCAGATGTTGGGTGGCTCCTGCACTGCCAGTCATCTTGGCATTGAACAACCAAACTCTTGATGGCTTTGTTCATACAGTGGCACAATATGGTTGTCAGTACAGTTTGGACTGCTAAATACGGTTCTGTTCACACTGTTTGGTTAATTCAGAGTGACTCCAGTTTGATTGAAATTGACATCTAGATGTCTGTCCTGCCACACAACTTATTCTTTGCCATCAATTACTAATTTTATAGCTGTCATCTTCTCTCAGGTTTTGAAAACCGCCAGAAAATATTCATATTGAATTTGGTTCCCTTGTCTTTTTTCATATAAATGCCAATTTGAGTCACCTGCTAGTAAATACGCTTGTCAGAGTAGCCATTGTGATTGTAGGTAAACAAGTGGTAAATTATGGAAATTAGCATGCTCTTTTGAAGAGCACCCTCATTGTCATTTCTGATTGTTTGGCAACTGTATTTGCTGAGCCTTAAAACAGAAAAAGGACACAATTATAATAAGAAAAGAGAAGAGCTGCTGTTTATTCACTTAAACCACCTAATGAGTAATTTTTTCCTGATTTTTGAGATTGGGATAGTTTTTTTTTTTTTTTTTACCTGAGAATAAACAGCCACCTGCCTTCATTTACCAAGTATTAGCATATCACTAATATGGATATGCCAGATAGCTCAAGGCTTAATAAGAGCGATGCAGTAATGACAGACTTTTGGAGAGGTGGTCACGTCCTTTACGTTACAGTCCTTGGTTTTTAATGAAGAGGTGCCTACACGTTCATGCTGAGTGGCAGAAATTGCAGTCCAAAACACACTGTGGATTAATTAGCGCAGTTAGTGCCAAATATTTCACAGTTTCTGACCCATTTTTTTCACCCTGCTCTCATGTAAACAGAAGCAGATGTCTTGAAAGATTTGTGTCATGTGGGTTTGAGTCTGTAATATTTGGATATGTTTTTAGGGTTGACAATGACATGCGTTAATACCTCCCATTCCCATTTCTTCACCTTGTCTGGATATTAAGGGAGCATATTAAAACATTTTTAACTGTGTGTTAACTGGCCTTATTCTACAGCCCGATTCAGCTCAACATTACAGATTTGTCAAATCCTGGAGAGAGAAAGGGCATGGACAGGGTAAGCTTCTCGTGTAAAACGATAAGGGAGTTCAGATTCATGTTGCCGGTGTCGATATGATTTTGTGTGTCTTCAGAAACACGGGTTATTCTGTAGTTCCAGAAATGTGATCCAGTGCTGAGACTAAAGCTGAAAAGGCTTAGCTCAGGGTTTCGGGCTGTGGATTCAAACACAGAGCGTGTTTTCAAAGGAATTTGGTATGCTTTTCCGGCAATTGAAGAGGAATTACACATAAGAACATGGGATGGTTAAACCTGACATCTGCGGAGAGCTGAAGTATCGAATCACGAATACAGAGGTGGTTAGCATTTGAAATATCAAGTCCAGAGTGTTTAAACACAACATAAAGCAGAATCTGGCCACAGTGGTAGAGTTATAGGCACAAATTTCACCACCAGGAAATCTTTGCACTTCCTAAAATTAATCTCTACTTTGAGCTATCAACCAGAGATGGAGTTATCAGGCTGAGGCAATTTCACTTTTCCCAGAGAGATTCTACATTATCAACAAAAAATGCATCTGTAGCATTCTATCGACCAAAGGGCTCTCAGCTGTATTG